AGCAGGAAGAAGACCCTCAATGGATAGGATAATCCCGGATGGCTTCATCCCATTTCCCACAGTGGTCCAAGGAAATGGTGCTGCTCCAACCAGCAGCTTTGGTCAGGGCTGGAATCACCCGGAGGATGGGCCGAGAGCACCGGGAATGGGATGGGCAGGGGGGTTTGCCCAGCTCCATGCTGTTTGCCAGGAAACGGGAATGAGAAGAGCTCCTTGGGAGAGGCAAGCGAGGGCCAAGGGGGTTTAAGGAGAGGGAACATCCAGCTCGCGGGGATCCCAAGCCCTCACATGCGCCTCTCCGGTTGGGAATTACAGCTGGGAATGGCACCTTCACCCCAGCGTCACGGGAGAGGTTTGAGAGCAAACGTTGGGTGCCCACGGACGGGGCTCCTGGGGAGGGAAACGTGGGTTGGGAGCTTCCTGCCCAACTGGGAGGACAGGTCCTGCGGAAAGCGAGATGTGACAGGGAGGGAAGTGCCTGAGGGCGTCTGCAGGAACACCAGGACCTGTTCCCCCCCCCGTGGTGGCTCCCTCCTGTCCCCATGGACACGGAGCGGGGACACGCAGGAACCGTCTCCTCCTGCCACAAGGTCCTTTGGGTGCTGCTCAGCGGCCAGAACATGCTGTGATTCCCGGATCTCCCGGTTCACCCGGAGCTTGGGAAGAGCCCTGGGTGCTGCGGCACCAGGAAGTGGCTTCACAGACAAGCTCAAAGGTCACCAGTGGAGGAGGAAGGACGCAGGGAACATCCAGAGGAAACAGCCTCATTCCGGGCACCGCAGTGGGAGGTGATGCAGGTGACGGCTCCCTCATCACCTCCATGCCCTGGGATGGGAACGCTCGCTGGGAACACCAGGAACACCACGGGAAGGGCTCATAAAGCCCCATTGAGGTTCGGTCCCTCCATGGCTGCCGGGGGAAGGGCCTCCCCACCACAAGGGCCCCATTGTCAGAGCTCAATGGCCGGGTTTGATCCCGCTCTGAGAACGCCTTTTTGCCGCGAGGGCCGGTGCCGTCGGCACACGACAAGGGCTGCACAGTGCAGCATTCCACGCTTCCATGACCTAACCGGCAGGCTCAGCCCAGCTCCTGCCTCCTCCTTGGGCCTTTCGCCTTTATCCCGGCTCAGGGAATTGGCTTTGTCCAACGTCGGGGGGTCCCGATGGGGCTCAGAACCTATGGTCATGTTCAGGCGACCACGACGCGTCTTCAGGCTCCTTCAAACCACCAAATCCATCTGAGCCGGCTCCTCACTGCTGAGGCCCAGTGAGAGCCACCCGAGTGGCTTATTCCAAGAGGGAACAAGGTCCTTCCCTGCAGCTCCTCGCACCAGGGATACAAGAGATGGCACGGAATGAGCAAAACCCCCTTGTCCTCATCTTGCCTCTGCCGGGATACCAGGCTCGGAGTCGGGATTCCGGTGTCTCTCATGCTCAAAGGGGCTCCTGACCCCCAACATTCCCAGTTCCAGAGGCCACCGCACACATCCAGCCCGGCACAAAGCCAATGGGGACCACGGCTGCTTGCACAGATCATCAACCCCTCCTTAAAAGCCTTTGGATGGACCCTCCAATGCTCCACAACACAGAGTTTGAATCCCCAGGGCCGGTTTTCCAGCAGCTCCATGAAGCTGCCAAAGTTTCCACTGGGAAAGGGAATAACTTGGATATCTGAAGCCCCCCCAGAGGCAGGGTTTGGGGGGGGGGGGACAGGACCCGTT